TTCGAGCCTTGTAGCTTCCAGAGCTGCTCTTTCTTCTCTTTTCTCTCCTGCTTCTTTATTTCTAAATCTGACTGTTCCCTTTCTCTCAGCGATTCCAGAATGTCTCCTCCTGAGCTCCTTCTCTTTTTTCCAACTGTCTTCTTTTCTTCTGCCCTCTCCTGTTCATTTCGCTTTCTTGTTTCTCCTATCCCATCAAGTGCACTGTCTGTTATCTCCAATGCCTACTTCTTTTCATTTGCAACAGCCTTTGTCTTTGCCTCACTTTGTTCTTCACTTTCCTTCTCTGACTCATCTCTGAGAGTAATTAGCTCTTCCACCAGTTTATCAGGCTCACTTTGGAGTACCTCACCTCCACCACTTGCTCTTTCTTCTGTAGCCAGTTTTGCCTTTACTTTTCTTGCCAAGGTATTGAATCTGTCTTATATGGACCTTGTGTTAACAATTAACTCCTTCTGGCAATGTAGGCTTTCTGCCTTTAAATCCCATGCACTCCCTCTCTCTCTCTTGAGTCATGTTTCCACTCAAACACCCCCTCCCCTGCCATTGTGGTTAGTAATATGACATCCTTCTCCTCTTTCCATTTCATGACTGACCTACCATGACAAAAGAATTTGAATTGTAACAACTCAAATTAAAGATATTCAGTTGAAATTATGTTATTATTGAAATCTTTGTAGAGTTCTAGGTTTTGTCTACATTATTGAAATGTAAAAAAAAAATCCGTATTCTCTGACAATAAAATAACCAGGATATTTTTCCCAGGCCAGTACCTACCTCAATCCCCTCCCTTAGAAAGTGTACATTACGTAAATAATATAACGCATTTCCCTTCTTATGATGGGTACTGTTATGTTCTCGGGCAAACAGACAACTGCACACAAGATGGGGGATCAACTGAAGAACTGTACTAATCAAAGAGCGCATGGGTTTTACAGTAACCGCATACATACTGCGGGCACAGTATGAATTACTGACACTATAACAAATGTAATGATACACTATAACACCTCCCAGCAGAAATGTTGTGCCTGACAAGAAATTAAAGTACAAGACAACTGTTGAAACTCTCTAAATGATCAAAAGTTCAAGAAAAGAAACAAAACTATTAGAAGCACTGTTCAGTGTCATTAAGGCGAGACTTAACGGTTTTAGTCCATTTCTTCAATCAGTCTCTGTGGTGGTTTAGTAGCGTGTTTGGACCGACGCAGAGCAGGGGTGGGAGGAGTAGGTGTGCTTGGTGACTCCACTGACTCTGATTCTTCAGATGGGGGTGTACTGCTTTCGATACTGGGAGAAGTAACGCCTGCAGTAGATTGATCAGATGTAACTTCGACAGAGCTGAATTGAGTCACAGCAGAACTAGGGGTGTTTTGAGGTACACCGTCAACATGTCTCCTCCAATTCCCTCCATCGTTCAACTGGACTTGAAAGGAAGCAGGTGATGTTTGCTGTACGACAGTACCAGCTTGCCACTTCTGTCCTGATAGGCGGTCACGTGCAAGAACACAGTTGCCTACAGCTATCTCCCTGTATTTTGCAGACTTGTCATGATTGCACTTCATTTTGTCTTGCTGGCTGGCCATGAGAGATCCAATATCAAGTGTGACCAGAGACAATTGAGTGCGAAGTTCTCGCTGTAAGAATAGCTTGGTGTGGGATGAGCTGGTTGTAGCATGTGGTGTGCTTCTGTAAGATAAGAGGAAATTCTGAATCTGCCGCTGTATAGAGCTTGTGGGATCATCAGCTGATGATTCCATTGCATACTTGAAAGTCTGTACAAACCGCTCAGCCAACCCATTTGAAGAGGGATGGTAAGGGAAAACTAAAATTCTCTGAATGCCATTTTGCCGCCAGAACTTTTCATACTCTGCAGACTGGAGGGGTGGGCCATTGTTGCTGACTACTTGGGTTGGTAGACCATATCTTGCAAAAATATTACGCATGGCATTAATGGTTGAGTCGGCTGTTGTTGTTGTCATGGGACCAATCACTTCAGGCCACTTAGAGGGGGTGTCGACCATGATGAGGTAATGTTTTGCCTGATGGGTAGCAAAATCTACGTGAACACATTGCCATGGAGCTGTCAGCCAAGACCATGGAAGAAGCGTTGAGCCTGGAGGAGCCCTGCGGGTTTTGTTGCGCGATTGACATTCATGGGTAACCTTTTCAATCTCCTGATCTATTTTCGGCCCCCAAACATGGCTGCAGGCTATTGATTTCATGCGTGCAATTCCAGGATAGCCTTCATGTAATTCTGTCAGGATGGTTTCTCTTAAAGAAGGAGGTATAACAAAGAACAGGTAAAGCTGCTATTTAAACTTAACAAGCTTACTTGTTGTTTCTCGCCGCAGCGGCCGAGATAGTGGCGCTGTTAAAAAAGTGAACATTTTTTAACACTAAGCAAATAAACAATTAAAAACATTCGAAAATTTCAACCTATTTCATGTTGAAGCACATGCAGCGATCTACTACAAAACAATCGGGTTACTTACGAACTTCCACCAAGGATATCCATGCTTTCACTCCGCCCAGAACTGCTTCGTTAAGTCTGAAAATAAAACGAAAAAAGAAGAAATCAGTGTCACTTCTTTAAGAAACAAACGAAACTCACTGGTAAACTCAGAAAATAAATCGAAAAGAAAAAGAAATGTGTTATTTCTTTGAGTAAAGTACGAAATTCTCACCTTTGAAGTCACACGTTGTAGATCTTTGACTACGACAAGAAAAGCTGTCAAAACTTACCGTAGTGAAACACGACGGTAAGCAAAACGCCATCCCATAACTTTCACACATGCGCAAAAAAGCTCAACCCAGATCCGGCGTACTCGTCCAACCGTAGCCGTTAACCGTAGTCTTAGATCTTATATTCCCTAACATTAAAAAAGGGATGGTATAATAATCTAATATTACACAATGAAAAAATGAGGCTATATCATCAATGATAACATTTAAAAGAGAAAAAAAAGTGTTTAAAAGCCATTAATGTCACTATTCTGATTAAGATACGCATGAAAAAGTAACACAACAAAATAGCGCATGCAGGCAAATAAGACAATTACTACAAGATGGCGTAATAAGGGGGGAACACAGCCCTGTGGCAGGTTCTAGCGACTTCAGGTTATGAGCACAGCAAAAACACAAGCCTCACTTATCGCCCCACTACCGTGGGGTAGGACAAGAGTAATAGCAGAGCCTTTCTTGTCTCCCCAGTGCCGCACTGGCTGGATCGGACAAGATTAAGGTAAATGAATAAGATGGCAAGACACAAGCAATGCCAAAAGCTTGGGGGAAGTCGCAACGCAGACTTAACCGCACCACAAGGATTGACCCCCCAAACTTTATTGATACCTAACACAACAAAACTCCTCCATAGGGAGGGAGGGTGGGAAACAAAATTACTGTAACTGTTTGCTTTCGTGCAAGCTAAACGAATAATGACCAGGTCTGCAATAGCAGAAGTTTATAGCTAGAAGGTGTCTCAAATCTCGACCAATGAATACAGTTGTACCATAAGCTACCTAGTCTTATCATGATTAAAGTCTAGCCATGAATAGGGCCTTGCAAACAGGTACCAATCTGCGCGATGCTAAGAAAAATATAATGACAAACATACGACAAATTAGACAGGTTCAAACCACGAACAGCTTTTGTTTGGCTTTCATTCATAAATAAGGCTTTAAAGATCGAACAGAGCATACATTGGGGCAGGCTACCTTAGCCTACCCCCCCCTGGGGCTTCATGTTCCATTAACTGCATTTACCATCTGGTAAATGTGTTAAAAACCATTTTGAAAAACAGATCCTGAAAACATCTACTGAATAGGCCCCTTCCACGCCTCCACAAAAATGTTATCATTGCCAACTTAACCTGAGATCAGATCGATTTCCGTTTCATTGGATGTGCTAATTTCTCTCCTTCTGTAAGTATTTAGTTCCTCCTTCACTCTATGGAAATATAGAACTCAAACCCCTGTATGTGTTTGGACCCCATAACTTTAGGATTCCACCCCAGATATGGTTCCCACCTTTGTTCTTGGAATACTGAGATGCCACCATAAATCACCTTAAATTAAATTTAAATCCATTTGTTCGTTTGTATTGTATGGCAAGTTTTACATCACCATAACCTGAAATCAGGCTCTATTTTCTTTCCACTTCGTGAGTAAAATTCTGACAGGAAAGGCAAAACAAAAAAATATAATTTTAAGTGCAACTACATAAGAGCGGATGCATGGGAGCTAACAAAAATGAAAATTGGACCTGATGTCACGTTATCAACTCTATTGCTCCATGCAGCTGCTTGGAATTACTCTGCGGGACAAAGTGGGGTCTGACTAGTGTAAACAGCTGAAGAGAACTCCACTCTTTATTTACCCCTTATTAAGCCATCATAGGGTGAATCACTCCGGGGGGGTACTTTAGAAATTTCTGGGTGGGGATGTGCCGCTTGAACCCTGTAACCCTTAACCTATACCAGAGCTAGTTCAGCTGAATTTTGCCACCCTATACTAGAGTAAACTCCCCAAGTCCCTCCTATCCTAGAGTAGCTGTTTTCCAGAAACTACAGAGGTCACTAGCACAGTCTAGCCAAAGACAACCTTAAACCACAATTCCTAGTCTAGATAAAATCTTCAAACCAACTGATCAGTTTCCTGAAAAATGATACTCTATTCTAGACCCAAACGCTCTGATTTATATACCCTATCCTAGAGTCAACTGCTTGAAAATCATACCCTTCTCAGCGGCACATATAGCCCACATATGGCAGTACCCCCCCCCCCCGGAATCACTCATGGTAACAGTATTTACAGTATGTTCCACTTCAACTTAGTTGTATTAAAACAGGCAGAGGCTCTGCACAAGCACTGTCCATGCCACAATCACATTCACTGTGGAAGCGATTGCAACATCTGTGCTTTGGGCTTGCACGAGAGTCACCATCAAAGGGGGAAAGAAGCAGCTTCCTTACACACTCCTTGGAATTAAGGACAGTTTTCATGTCATTGCCACACAGTGCCTTATGTTTCCCAATGACATTGTGAGCCTGAGACTTGCCATCATGGCCTGCACGCCCTGCCTCCTGCAAATGGCTGACCAGATCTCTTGAGGGACCAAAGTGAACAACATAAGTGACACATGGAAGGTAAAGAAGTCGTAGCAATAACTATTCTGGCTGTGCCAGCTCCACTCTCAAATGATGACTTTACCCGTTCTTTCATTTTCTCTGGAGTCACCGAGTAGTACACAGTAACTAGGCAGCGTTCAGGCAAGGGTGCCTGTCCCTCAACATATGCATCTTCACCCAGGTTTTTCAGGAGGAAGCTGAGGATCAGTGCAATGTCATTCACCGTTTGACAGAAAATAATCGTGTAGGGACTATCTTTCTTTTCTTTTCTTAACATTGTCACAACCCAATTCAGACAACATAGTTCTTTATCGGCCTGTGTGACTGAAAATCGTATGTTGTCTTTGTTGGGGCTTAGGATCACAGTGTAAGGATTGGACAGTGCCAAATAGTTTGCGAGTCATGTTCGCATTCCTCTATCTGCCGTTGCAGTGATGCACAAAACTGGCACCTTCCCCAGAAAGGAACGCATTTCGTTGAGCTGTCCAAATACTTCTCTGAAGGCTTTTTTCCTCTTTTTTTCTTTACCCCTCTTTATTTAAAAACCAACTCACACGAAATTCATACTGTTAAAGTTTTGTCATCCTTCAATGTTTTATATTCACAAAAATTTCACGGAGTGATTGTTTGAAATTGTTACAATTGCACATTTTCTTCTTGAACTTTGAATGTTTCATAATATACATATCCTCAAAAATCAAAGTTGTGATTTTTCTTAATGACTTGTCCATGCCTTTTAAAGAAACTGTCCACAAATTTAACTTAACTAGGGGTGTACCTCTAAAAATACATATTTCATTGTATTTATGTCCTTAATTGACTTACTTATTTCCCCCTGAAAAACATGGGAAATGGCATTTCCAAGGCCTTAAAAATAAAAAAATTTTCTGAGAGCATGCCACTCGCTGATTGTTTCACTACTCCTTCCTGTGCGTACCTAACTGGAAAAACCACGCTACGCCCCAGTTAACTTAACATTATTGTATGTTTCCATTTCAGGGGTTATGCAGTGAAGAAAGGAGAAATGGCTTTTTGAAAATGGTTTAGCCGGATCAACGGGATTCGCTCAATTGTCGGCCAAGTGCCCCTGATTGCACTGACTGCTACAGCAACTATGTCAACAAGACTCAAGATCATGCAGTCTCTTGAGACGAAAAGCCCAGCCCTCATAACGGATAGTCCAAACGGAGATAACATAAGTTATGCTGTTCAAGTTATCACCCCTGATCCTGCTCAAACATTTAAGACCTTAGTTCAAGAGTTAAAGGAGCACAAAGAATTAACTGAGAGGACAATTATATATTGCCAGACGATCAAAGTCACCACCTTTTTATATTCTTTCTTCATGTCAGAACTTGGTGCTGACATGTACTTTGGCAATTCTGGTGATCCTAAGAAGAGGACTGTGGAAATGTTTCACAGCAGAATTGATGACCTTAATCGAGATCATATTTTGGAGTCAATGGGTGAACCAAATGCCTCAGTCCGCGTCTTGATAGCCACCATTGCCTATGGTATGGACATTGACTGTAAGAATGTCAAGACAGTTCTGCACTATGGGCCTTCTTACAACCTTGAAACCTATCTGCAAGAAAGTGGCAGGGCTGTGGTTCGTTACTCAAGCCTTATGATGAAGCACTGTTCTGAGGAAATAAAAAGTTATGTGCGAGAATCATCTACATGTAGAAGGAAAATACTCCTTAAAAACTTTGATGTGGACCTCGAAAAATTACCTGCGGCTGAACCAGCACATAATTGTTGTGACTTTTGCAAAAAGAACTGTAAATGTCAGGGGGACTGTTGTGATTTTGTTTTCTTTAAGTCACTGTTCACAGATATCCAAGAGGGTCCAACTGATTGTCTTTCTAGAGAAGTGAGCGATGCTCAGAGGGCTAGTCTACGTCAAAAGCTGAACTATCTAAAGAAAGCCTTGAGAGGACAATATTTGCGTAGGGTAAGACTTTAAAATGTGCCAATGTTTTCTCCCGCAAAGTTGTCTGGTGCATTTGGAGATCTGCATGTGGAACAGATTTTGAGCAATTGTGAGAAAAGTTTCACTGTCACTGACATTTTCAAATTTGTTGACATCTGGAATTTACGTGTGGCCTTAGAAGTTTTGTTTACCTTCGGCCAAGTCTTTCGTGATGTTGATGTGTGTGAGCCTGTTGAAGACCCAGAACACAATGACACATTAGAGTTTGCTGATCTGGACATTTTTGATTTTGACATTGAGGATTCTGTCTTTGCTGGCATTCAAGAAGAAATGTTTTATACTGCTGAGTATAGCCTTTTTGCACCCAATGAAGAAGAGTCTGGCTGTGATGTTAAGTAAACTGAAGATTTTGTTCAATCTGTTAACCCATAAATGTCATTATATTCTTTACATTTCTATATTTAGCTGTTAGGGGTTACTAAAGCATTCAAAACAGTATCATTATGTCTGTTGTTCATTCCCTTTCTTTTCTTACCCAGGAGATGTACATGTCAATGTTGCTTTGAGTATAAATATTACAGGAAATCAGGTTTTAAAAAAACTTGGAATAGTTACAAAACTGGATCAGATCACTGTTCATTAGGTCACACACATGCAAATTACTAACTGTTATAGGCTCGATTTCCGCCATCTCCTGGGTCTGCGGCTCATTTTCCTGAAAAGAGGCCGGTAATCGAGCCTACAACGGTTACTGAAAAGGTCAAAAGCACTTTTAGGTTTTTTCAACAGTGAAATTATTCAGATGTCCAGTCCAAGCAGAACGTACTTGTAATATTGTGATATACTTTATTAGGTGCAACTTGGTATTTTCAAATGATCCACATCGCGTTTTGCTTTGAACTAGCGGTTATTAAGCCTGTTGGGTTAACAGACTTGTTGTAAATAAACAATATTATCAATGGTCTGTTGAAATTTCCCATTTCTTAAGTCAAAAAGCTGTAGATATTATAGGTTGTAAAATAAGCTCTTTAGAAAAATGTTTGAAATTGTTGGGAAATAATATTCCCTGTTGGGTGGTATAGCTATCAGAATCAGTTTCATTTGTTTTTACATTGACTCAATATATAGATGCATCTATAAATCTATTTGGAGAACATAGTGCATCATTTGATACTCCCTTTGTTAAAGGTACACTGTCTTGTTTTCTGATAATCAACTGAAGGTGAAGTCTACGTTAGCTTCACCGTATACTGTAAAGCCTTGAGGGTATTGTACATAAAAGGTTCATTAAATTTAATCATCAATTGAACATGTTTGTCTAATGCAGACAACCTACCATAAGAACCGAGTGCAAAGAAAGTCGGTTTTAAAGCTTACCATTCGGGTAAGTTATTGCTAGTATGTACTAGCCCAAGAGTCCTTTTAAAAAAGCCCACCCGAAATTTTGATGAGCAGCGTTGATTACAGTTCTTCTGAAATTTGAATTTCACAAAAACCTTCACTTGCTCTTCCAGCAAATTAAGAACAGAATACTAGCCCGATTGCAAAATCCACTAGCCCCGGACAATCATACACGACTTGCTTTGCACGCTGAAAAAGCTACTTAAAATACCAAAAAAAGAAAGATTTGTGCCCCATCGATAGGTAATTTTTTAGTATTTTAGAAAAGATGGCTGCCTTCAGGAGATTGGCGGGTAGAGATTTGACTACAATATGTAATTATTTTGCATGGATTTATCGTGGCCTTTTGCCAAGTCTGACATTTTTCTTATGCTCATTTACCCAAGAGAAGAGTCCCTTTGAATCTAGTGATTGGAGGTAGTCTCTTGGACAGTCTAGAAAGGAAAACATTGCTTCCCGGGTTGACTGTTTATCAAATACATTCTGTTCATGAAGTGTTTCAACAACTTTCTTCAAATCCTGCCTGACAGATTTCTGGGAATGTTCACCTGAAATCTTCTGAACTTTCACCTCTAGGTCCAGGTGTTCCAAAAACGCTTTGATGACAAAGAATGCCCTACAAATTCTACGGACACTAGCTTCACTGATATTAGCTACCAGACCTCTAATCATATCTTTGATCAAATGATTGTCATGTTCCAAGGCTACATCAATGGCAACATTACATCCTGGCTGGCCATGATTGTTGACTGTTCTGTTCCATTTCATCCTTTCTGCTTCTCTAGGACTGAGCAAGGCATACAGTTGAAACATGTGGAACAAAGCCTTCAAAGCATACCTGGTGCTGCCACTGCCATCCTCTTTGAAATGTAGAAGGAACATCTTGATGCATCTTACTATCCGTTCACCATCACCCTCTTTTACGGCATCCATGAAGTTCCTTAACAGTAAGCCATGTTCATGAAGCAACAGTGATAGTCAAAAATGTCATCTTTGGGTTTAGGAGTTTGATCAGTGGGATCAGCCACAGTATTAACGAGTACTGGTTCCTCAGGAATGATGGGTGGGGGTCATCCTGTGGACTCGATCATGTTTAAATGAGCTTGAACACCCTGGGAATCTACAGGGGTACCTGCCATTTGGAGGTATAGGCTGATTAGTTTGGGCTGTTTCCCATTCCTGTAGTGCTTGAATATTGTTGAAGTGATTTTCATAGAGAGTTCCATCAACTACATAGGTTTGAATGAATTCTTTGATCACTCTATAAAAGAAACGTTGGCGCACCACCTTGAGTCCTGTTGCTAATTCTGGGCTGATACTGTGCTTCATGGGTGTGTCTTCGGTTGTTTCCATGCCGAAGAACTTAAGGGCTGCAGCAATGATACTTGCATCCAACACCAAATTCGAAAATTGCTTACATTGAGCAGGTTTTGCTGGGCATCACTGACCACATCGCGCCAGTTTACAAGGTTTCTCAAAGCAAGCAGCGAAATCTTGTCAGATGCTGAGGAACCGCTGTAATACCTAGAAAAAATTAACTGGATAAAAGAAAAAAAAGTGTGGCTAAATAAACTGTTTCATTCATATTTCAATGAAACATTCTAAAAAAATGTCACTTAATGTGATCACATGGGATAGGTGGTTTCTTATAGTAGCTCTCAAATGCAGTGATTTGACAGGAAAAAAAACTATTCTAATTCATTTTTCCTATTGAGACACACTATGTGACAGCGATGAGCTATTCCTCTCTGACTTGCAGACTTAAATTATGAAACCGGCAAAACTGTAAACACTGGAAATATTTCTGGAATGTCATTCTGTCGCAAGAAAAAAAGTCAGTCAAGTGTGAGAAACTAAACTACAAGCAAGAATGTTATTTAGTTTGTGGTTTTACGGCTCGTTTATGTGTCCTAATCTTTGCTGGATTGCTCATAACACAATAAATATTCCTGAAATATTTCAAGAGGTCATGCTTTTATTGGGTTGACTATATAGTGATGTGTCACGTGGTAATAATTTGTTTCAAAAACTTACTGATAGGAACTTGTTTTCATGATGCCAATCAGGAAGTTGAAAGAACAAGCCCTCCAATCTCTGTGTTTTGCTGTAAGCATTGCGGACAGAAAACTGTGCTTCCACCCCTCTCTCCATTGTTTTCTGGTCTCCAACAACAGGGACACGGTCAAACACCTCTTTTCCATTCTAAAGTACAATTGGCACCAATCCATGGAGTTCCCTTACAATATCGATCATGTCCTCTCCCGAATTTTCATCTTTAAAAATGACACCAAGATGAACCTAATATGAAGAAAATGATGAAACTGATATTAGTTACTGTATTTTTTTTTTGTACTTTTTTTACTCATAATATTTTTTTTGTGATAAAATTTCCAATGTCATGCATTTTTGAAAATCTAAGGTAGGTAACTGGGTTTGAGCAGAGAAAATGAGGCAAAATTGGTGGCTAGGAGGAGTTTTTGTAAGTGTCCACACAATTAAGGAAGACTGATAACAGGTTCCAAAAATAGCCTACCCACTGATTGCTTTTACCTGGCCAATTTTGGTCAAGGATCACCTTCAGCCACTAATGCCTCCAGATTTTTGTAATATTGTACATAAAAAATTAGGAAAAAAGATAATTTAGTGTCTGAGTTACATCTGTAACAATAATAATCTTACTGTTTCCGTCTTATTCTTCATTTCATCTGAGTACTTATGTTTGATGTGTAAGGGTGTGACATCCTTGAATATCTCAAAAGCACTGAAATTTTCCAACAGGACCCGACCAATGAGAACAGTGAAGTCAGACAGTAATAAATTCTGGTCATTAAAGCTGGGAAGAAAGGTGCTGTTTGGTACATCTTGAAGATCGGCGGTTGGTTAATCATCTGGTAAATGGGTGGGGTTTACCCGGTCCATGTATGCATTGTGATTACACCAATGAAAATCTTTATTTTGGTCATCTGATGTCATATTGGAAGCCAGAACTCTAAGGTCCACATTATCCAGCACTACGTTGAAGCTGCTAGGTCGATTTTAAAAAAGCTTCTGTGGTTCCACATTAATGTTGGACTGGGATACATTCACTGCTGTAATCTGTTCCTCTACATTTGCACCTGCTGCAGCCAATCGGAACAATTCCTCTTTTCTCGTCTCAAGGAGACAACCTTCTCGCACAAGTTAAGAACATTTTTCAAGATGGTCAGTAATGTCACCTTTCCAGGTTTTAATAGGGAGATCAAAATCCTCTCCAAGAAGATCTAGCGCCTTGTTGATACGTTTTGGGGACACTGTGACACCAAGTTTGTTAAGCTTGACAGGGGCCTGAAACAAAACCAAAAACACTTTTTTAACATGTTGCTCCAAATAATACAACCCACCTGCTAGAGGGCATATTATTATTAGTTATTTTAAGTTATTATTATTATTATTATTATTATTATTATCATCATCATTTCAATTGTCACCTATCTAGAAATTAGCAGCTTATAACTTAAATAAATTATTAAGTATTTAGTTTGGCTTTTAAGAATTTCTTGAACTTGAAATTTGTAATGTTTATGGATATTTTGGAAGCACAAACATAAACAACATATTATGGACTCGAAGAAACCCATTAATTTAATTTTCTTTCAAAAAAATGCAAAATCTCTAGAAAAACATATCAGCTATGGTATGTTGTTTGCCATATGGGGAATTACTAATATTGATAACTGATAACGTCCTGGACCATGATTACTGAAATAATATTTATGATTCAAGTATGTTTGAAAACTGGTTATCAAACAACGAGGAAAACAAACAACTTTGTGCTTACCCGTTTTGAAGTCCTCCCGACCTTGAGAATGGTGCTGATGACATAAGGAACGAAGCTCATGCCTTTGTTGCGGTTTTTGAGCAAGACAGCGGTACCTTTCAGTTGTTTCAGGGTCGCTGCTTTTAGAAAGTGACTTTGGATCGGCCAAAGCCAAGAGAAGACGATAAAATAGCGGCGACTTTTCACGAATTTCTTGTCCTACGGCACGCCAAGAGAAATTTAAA